AAGCCAGTTTGCCTTGAACTGCTGCTCGCCCTTAGCAGTTTTTTGGTCTTCTTTAGGTTCCGCTTGACAATAGCCCAGTATTTCTCAATTGGGCGGAGCTCTGGCGTGTTGGGAGGGTTCTTGTCCTTGGGAACCACCTGCACGTTGTTGGCGGCGTACCACTCCATGGCCTTTTTACCGTAATGGCAAGATGCCAAATCCGGCCAAAACAGTACGGAACAACCGTGTTTCTTCAGGAAAGGCAGCAGACGTTTATTCAAACACTCTTTCACGTAAATTTCTTGGTTGACAGTCCCAGAAGCTATGAAAATGCTGCTTTTCAAGCCACAGGTACAGATGGCTTGCCAAACCAGATATTTCTTTGCGAACTTTGACAGTTTCATGTGCTTGAAAACATCTGCTACCTTTCCCCTTCCTTTTGCCGTATAAAACTCCTGTCCCGGAAGCTGCTTGTAGTCGGCTTTGACGTAGGTTTCGTCGTCCATTACCACGCAGTCAAACTTCGTCAGCATCGTCGTGTACAGCCTCCGGGATCGCGCTTTGGCCGTCGTATTTTGTTTATCATCGCGATTTGGAGTCACTACCTTCTTGTAAGTCGATAGTCCGGCTCGTTTTTTGGCTCGATGCACGGTTGTAGACGATACACCCAGCTTATTTGCGGCATCTCGGAGAGAGAGGTTAGGGTTTCGCTTGAAACTACCGGCAACTCTCTTTGTCGTCTCCGCGGCTTCCGGTTTTCGATTTCCCCCCGATCCAGACTTCCTGGCTGTCGACAAACGTTCCCCAAACACTTTAATTACATTTGTAACGGTTGATTTGGCAACTTTTAGCGATTTTGCCAACTTTGCGTGCGAGTAGCTCGGATTTTCGCGATGCGCGAGCAAAATTTTGATACGCTGCTCTTCTTGCTTGGACGGCATTTTGACAACTGAAGAGTGAATTCCAAAATCAAAATAGGAGCAACATTCTACATACACACACCTTCAAAATGAGGGGTGTTCAGGTTTTTTAAATGCAAAATTGAAAGAAATACGTCAAGTTGATATTGACCAAATTTTGACCGTATCACCCTTTAGTGCCAATTACGGACGGACATCGGTTGGCATCCAATGACGGCAATCGAATGTGCAGGGAGGCAGCTTCCACACCTGCGCACCCATTCAAACACACATACATGGGCCGAGACCAACGGCTTTACTTCCCTTCCGAAGGAAGACGTGACCAGAGATTTTTATGCCTCAAGTGCTCAAGACCATATTGGATACAACCGGGTTCTGGGTGCCCTCGGGGATGTTGCCAGTTTTTGATTTGGGCCAAACCCATCATGTGACACCTTGGGGTGAGAGCAATCACGCTTACCACTAGACCACCGGTACCGCTATGTGACACCTTATATCACATGAGAATTCGAAGTCAAGGACAATAGTAGTCATTTCCGGGTGGCCCCTGGGGAGTGACAAGCCTCGGGGGGTTATTCCGAGAGTCGAAATGACTTTTGTCACTAGTAAAGTGAGAAAAGTCACGTCGTGGTGATGTGACTTTTCATTTGATTTGCACAGAGAGTCACGACACCATGATGTGACTTTTCTCATTTCACTAGTGACAAAAGTCACTTCGACTCTCGGAATAACCCCCTCTGATTTGAGCCAAATTCTATCTTGCGTCACCTAAACTTTCAATGGTAGCGATATCGAGTGCCCAAGACCACAATGACTACACCCGGTTATGTTCCCGGGTGTCCTCAGTGACTAGGCCCAAAGCCATTGTGCACCTCAAATCACATGCGAATTCGAATGTAAGTTCAGTGATTGCCACACCGTGTGCCCAAGACCACATCCTAACCAACCATTCGAGAAACTTCTTCAACGTTCTTCATTAGAATGTTCTTAAGATGTATTTCAGGAAGCTTTACGGCTAATTAGACTGACAAAAAATTGTGGATTTTCTCAAAAGTGAGAAGAATTTTCCGGGTTTTTTTCCGAGATTCTTGAATATGAGCAAAAATAGAAAAATCGATAGGTATTGAGACTGCCAATGAATGTGAATGGTCAAAAAAAAAAAAAATATCAATATGATCCATATTTTATGTAAAATTTAGCAACACAATTGTAAAAATGTACCGCTAAATTTAGAAAGAATGAGCATTGAAATTATACGAATTACCCATAAAGATATTGCAATTGATCCATAACACATGCAGCAGTGAACCTTAAACTAAAGAAAGTGATCCATAGAGAATCAAGTTTGCGCACTTAAGAATATAGCCATGTTCGGATTAATGAAAGCAACTTCCTCAGAGCAGTCTCGTTTTGGACAGCTTGAAGCTCACAGTTCGAAAAAGTAGTGTAAATTTCTGTTCAATATGATGTACATAAATGGAGCGTCACATATCATATAAGTTTACATTATGAATCATGTTAAGTTCTGAGACATTTCATGCAATGTAGCAAATGTTGTATACAAAAGCCCATCTTTGTAAACAACATTGTTTACAAGTTGCTCGGTTGTGTGAAATGAAGTACAAGTTTACGTGGATGAATGTTTACATCACAATTAAAATTCAGAATTTTTATCGGTGTTGAAATAGGTTTTATTAAACTAATATAAAATCTAAACCAATATTAATGCTTATAATAAAACCTATTTCAGCTTCAAGCTGTCCAAAACGAGACTGCTCTGAGGAAGTTGCTTTCATAAATCCGAACATTCTTGAAGAACAACATCGGATATAACCTCAAAATGTCAGAGGGATTAACACCACCGTTGAGTTAAGAACAGAACAGCGATTAAAACTGTACAATTTGTGAAGACCATGACCACGTAAATAATATGGTCCAGTGTGATATCTGCGATTTATGGACCCATTATAAAAACCATCTAGCAGAAAGAATATTGCGAGGAGTGATGCCGGATCCGAATCTGGAAAAGGAAGTACCAATGAGGTCAGCCTGGAGGAATCCCTAGACCTGTTGCAGCAGGAGAAAAGCGCTGGAGGAAGAGAATCCTCCAGGGATTCAATTATTATTTTAGTTAGGCACGCAAACGATGTAGAATGAGCTACTTACAAGTTACTTAGGGTAAATCAAGTATAAATATAGTGTTTAGGAACTGGAAATTGTAGGTTACCAGATTTTAGGATCAAATTGTAGTATCTAGATTAAGCAAATATAGGGTTATTAAATTCAATATTTTCACGAATTCCCCCTCCAACTAACCTACTTCAGTAGCTAGTTTTTTTTTAAATTTGATCCATAAACCTTGCACGCAAACCAAAAATCTATTACAATGAATGTTAGTTCCATTTCCTATCATCCTCTGTTCATGAACATCGCAGCGAATGTTAGAAGTTGACCTTACAGGCGATGTAATGGTTTTTTGCCTTTTTTATTTCGTGTTCTGTCTGTGCTTTCACCTACACAAGCAAGCATTTGCCTTGATTTTTATGTATAACATGGTAGAACGACGCACACCCTTGCCACGAATCTCTCCAGAAGAAAAAGCATACGAAGTCGAGTGTGAGAGGAAAGGAACGCTTCTTGTTTGCTTTTAAGCTATCCATATTCAGAAGTATGGAGAGAGCAGTGGAGAAAGAACAGGTCTGATATTCGCAACGTTCGTGGTTCGAGTCCAGTCGGCAATCTTTTTCCTATTTTTTTTTCGACATAATAAATTTACCTCACTAATACACTCTACATTTTTCGGTCTCCAATTTTCTTGCATTGGACCGCAGCTAGGTATATCGCATCCTCGGTTCATGCGGTCTCCACTTACATCCTCTGATGATGAATCCCACATAATTGTAAGCGAATCTTACATTCACCGGTTGGGTGTGGAAAATTGCTACATAGCTGCGTAGCTACTCAGGTTTACTGTTCTGCCTGTGTTTTTTTTGTCAGAAGAGCGCAACGATGGACGAGCGTCTAGAATAAGCTTCTTAAAGAAGTTTCTAAATGAAGCTTCCATAGGAAGCTTCTTTAGAATATTATTATAGAATCTGCTTTTGGAAGTTAATTCTAGATGCTTGCGCGTCGCTTCGCACCTCTACCTAAAATACACGGGCAGGACAGTAAATCTAAGTAGATATACAGTGGAGCAATTTTTCAAGGTTTATGGATCAAAATTTTAAAAAATAGTATCCTAAACATGAATAATATACGTCTAATTTATGGATCATGCCTATATTTTTAAGTGCGCAAACTTGATTTTTCTTGATTTTTTATGGATCACTTTCTTTAGTTTAAGGTTTATTGTTGAATGTTTTATGGATCAATTGCAATACGTTTATGGGTAATGCGTACAATTCCAATGCACATTCTTTAGCACATTTTTACAATTGTATTGCTATTTTACATAAAATATTGATAATATTAATATTGTTTATGGATCATCCACACTTTTTTGGGGATTTTCTCCGATGTTTTATAGATCATTTGGATGTCTTTAATGGAACGTTTTTCAATATTGTATGGATCGTTTATCAATTATATAGGTGCATACTTAGGGCTGCCATTTTTCTGATTCGTCATTTTGCGTGGAATGGCTATTTCTTATTGGTACATAGCACACTTTTTTATGGGAGCGTTTTCGTTTTTTATGGTACATTAAATAAGCTGCCGTATAGATTCAATCAAAAATCCTTACTCAAATTCATTTTGAAAACCGGCTCAATATAACCCGTTAACAACTTATTCGATACAAAAAGGAGGAGGTTAACAACGTTATCCCTGTATCGACGGCAGTTTAAAATTGACGGCCACGTAAAATATTTTAACTCAAGCAATAAATAAGGCTTTTGTGGCAAAAGCCATGTTCATGAAAGCTTCAGTTTTAAATAGAAGAAAGGATAACCCCAGTTGGCAGGAAATGTGAATTAAACCTCTATTCCAGGATAATAACTATTCATGCATGCAGCCTGTTTTCGTAATCTGTATGTGAAAGCATTAAACAATATACATTTATAGAAGAGTGGCTGTGTACATAGCCGGAAGCAGTATACTTACCACCACAGTGGGATTTGAAATCCTCACAGCAATCGCCGAGCCGCAAACAGGCGTGATCACAGTAACAAGGCTTATCATTTAAATCCTCGATAATCGCATTCAGCGGAGCTTTTTGCACCACACAGGATGAATCGCGCCCGTTGCAGCACAAGGACGATTCCCGGCATGATCCACCGTAGGCCCCAACCGCAAACACCGATACCATGAGGATTGCCACAAAACCCCAATAATGTGCACACATTTTGGGGGAGTTCACTTTTGTATTACACATTTTCACGGAATACACGTTCACGGTTTTTTTTTTCTATGGAAAAGCTTTTCGCACACTTTTTTTCAGAGCTAGGATGGTTCAAAACAAAATCAAACTAGGCAATTTAAACATCAAGGTAACAAGGAGTGTTTTTGTTTTGACCCCTGCCTGAATTGGAACAGCACGGTGCTGAAATAAACTGAAACATTCACTGAAAGACGCAATCAACACACTTGCGATTATTTGGCTGGAATTCTTGAAAAGTTATTTCATGTTTTCATGCTTCGCGTTCCTATTTCGAATGTCGTTATCCAGTGGTAGAAATTCTGTTTGCATGAATCATGAAATTTTCTTCCTTCGCGAATGGGTTGTGCAGCACACCACACCGCAGCTGCGCGCCGATTTCGTTTTAATCTGAAATGAAAAGTAATAAAAAGAAACGAACAAATGAAATTCAACGTATTTTATTATATCGTAGAAATGAAATATGTGACATGTTTTTATATTCTCGCTCTTGGTCACTGTATGGGGCTCCTTCGATGGCACCACCGACCCGACCGGCGCGGCGTAAGAACGCGATACCAGCTGCCAGGGATCGCGAGGTTTGCCGACGACAACGACAACGTGGCTTGTGGCACCTTGTATCCTGCCATGCAGGTAGGTATCGTTCGTCCCGAGAGCAAATGAGATAGAAGAAACGATCTGAGATACGTACGACTGTTGCTTACAGGGCAATTGCAAGAAAGAAAGAAAACTGTTGTTGTTGCAAAAAGTAACATTCCAATTTACGAGCTGGTGATTAATTGTCTGCTGGGTTGGCCGAACGGGGCGTTACATTTGCGAATCACTGACTGGTACTGAACACGTGCGGCATTTGGGTGTTTGAGAAGATAACGCATTTTGTCTTCGTCCCATGTACAGAAAACCACATCGTATTCTTGGTTTCAAACATATTTTCGACAAATGTTACTTCTTCGCTTCTGTAGCGAGCGTTTTGCCGGCTCTTAATTTAGTGTTCTAGATGCACTTCCACAGTTATTAATTGAAATATTTCTATGCTAATCAATGCGTGGTAGACACAATTATACTCCATGCCCAGGGAAGTCGAGAAAATTTTCAACGATCTCCTCGACCGACTTTGTAATACGTGCCTTTACCGACTAGGCTATTTGAGGTCCCAATTAATCAAGGCAACACAAAGAGAGGCTTGTGAACACACTTTCATATTCAAACCTAAAGAACGTTATTTTGATTTATTATTAAACAAAAATCACTGGAAAAAATAACTTTTGTCCCTAACATGTTTGCCGATGAATTCCAGAAAATCGACACCATTCTACTTGTGCTTCGCTACGTATCATATTAGTCATCTCAATGTAAATAGAAATAATTCAAATTCAATGTCCTAATTCCTATTGTTCGTTTACTGCTCGGAGCATAACTAATCACACTTTGCAGTTATTTGCGTACCATGCAGCTAGATCGGTGGTGTGGGAACCGGATTGTGGAATTTCCAGCTACATACATATACCTACATTTGCATAACTTGCGTGCAAAGTTTTCCGAGCAATGTGCTGCTCTGGGTAGGACAAATTTATAATTATGTACTCATTAGTGCCGATTCCCTGCTCGAACCACATGGAATTGATGGATTTTAAATTGCGCGAGGCAGCGACATGGGAGCTATTTCTGTCGCAACATAGCACCTAGGCAACCAAGGTACTACAAATTGGAATCGAATGGATATTTACTTGTGATTGCTTCTCTGTTGTAATTTGCTGGTGAAGTGATAGTATGTCTCTAGACAACTGTTTAGCGAGTTTCATCAGTTTAAATTACGTCTACTGTATCATAGCCAAATGCTTTCTAAAATATTACGCTGAAGTACGTTATCCTTGCATATAACTGCCAAAAATACGTTATTACAGAGACGTAGTGAGGGTTAATTGAATTTGAAAAAAAACTCCTCTCTCCAAATTAATTTTGAGTTTATTCAATAGATAATGAAACAAAAGCGAAAATTGATTGGAGGAATTTCTTGCTAAAATTTTCCAATATATTTAGATATTCGCGATCAATTATATAAAAATTGGAGTGTTTTGCTTTTTTCAAGCGTCCTGAAGAAAACCCTATCTTAATTCGAAGTTTTTCTGGTTAATTGACAAGGTCATGCGGTATACGGTCATCGCGAGAATGTGTAAGTACCACTTCAATACTGTTACGCATTTGACCACAAACGTTTGGTTGCTGGGTACATTATCAAAGAGCTTGTGGCTGGCAGCAAGGCGAGCGAAAGTTCACTGAAAATTAACTTGAACAACAAAAATGTATGGTGGTCTTGAAAAGAACCGTTTTGTGGTGATGGTTGAGTAATGCTGAGCTATTAGGGTGTTCAACACGGATTAGGCTAGAGAGCTGTATGTTATTTGCAACGACGATGACGCGCTTGGCATAGATGGTCCACAGTGACTCACGAAGAGCTACTGAATCCGATCAGTAGCGGTGCGGCTTCTTCCTCCTTCTTCGGTGAATGGACGCTCATGTGGGCTATACCTCGTTGCTTGTGGGCAGCCTTTCGTTGTGTACTGGGGAACAATGTTCCTCTATGATTAAGCATGGTACATGTCGCGCCGCGTTGCGGAAAATAGATAGAGTTTTCTAGATAATGTTATAGCAAAGAATGATTCACGCAAATTGTGCTCGTCAATTCGTCAAAATTAATGTTACATGGTTAGAGCTTAAATATGTGGTGGATCACCAGCGCTGCTGATGTTTTTGATAGTTTGTAGAACTAGATCGCATTGCAGGGGGTTGATAAGCACCATGTGGCGAGACCGGATGGAATTCGATTTTGAAATCTGTGTTAGGGAAAACGCTTTTTGACAATCATCATTTCAACAGTTGTATATTTGTGTAATTTTCAATAGTGACCTATTGAAAATTGATAAGGTATTCAATTTAGTAGATTTGTAGAAGAATTTCCAACCGATTGGCTTTTTTAGAATTAGAATCCATCGGCTATTGAAGGAGTTATAAGTGGTCAAAACCTGACCACTTTTCGTAACGCTGTCGATTTTGTTTTTTTGAAATTGCACGCCAATATGTAATCCTACGTCAAAAATCAAGTGCCAGGTTAACACGGCGCTTGTTGTTGAGTGATAAACATGAGTCCATGCCCACCACTTCATGGGTGCATGGACTCGATTTGTAAGGTTTAGGTCAAGTCGCCTCCCTGGCGTTGGTAATTGGCGTTTACGTTGCGGTACAGATACCGTCCGAAAATAAATAAAGAAACATAGAAGGGGCAATAAATCCACAATGTATCGTCTTGAATTTTAAATTTAAGCTAATTCCCGAACATCATTTTATCTAATTCTGATTCCATGCACAAACAAAATAAACGTCTCAGAGTGTAAATTGCCTTATATCCCAAGGATTCTGATAGTAAACATTTTTTCGAAAGCAATAGATTTCTTAAATGTTAAAAATCAAAAACATTATTTTTTTAATTTCACTATCCCTAATATTTTTTTTTTAAATCGCTTCGATAAATGTTACAACTTCCGAGTATTTTCATGTGCCACAGAATCACGCCTATTTCTCCTAATTATTGTTACTTGTTGATTGTTTTAATCTATTTTCTGCGTATCGAATTCTTCACAGTAAATTTTTCTCTGCATCTCCCGTGGAATTCTCTGAGTCATTATCTACCACAGAATTCTATCCATAACTACTATTGGATTTTTTATTCTTGATTTTGTCATTCTTGACCATTGCTACCGACGCCAGGAAGGCAGCTCCCACACCTGGACCCTACCTATCGACCCATCATCACATGGACCGAGAACCAACGAACTTACTTCCCTACTTCGTGATCAACTACTATTGTATTTTGCATTTGAAACTCGACTCCTCAGAAATGTGAAATCGCTAATAAAAGTGCACCAATTCTGTGCACTTATTCCTCATGATCCAAGAAATATGTGCGCCAAAAACAACGATACTTCTATTGTTATTCCTTTGTAATTCTCCTTAGTATTCCCTTATTACTGTACCTAGGTATATTCTCAAAAAAATAATGGAACTGTTTTCATATTCAGATTTTCTTATGAATATATTATCGGAATTCTCTTAGAAATAATGCCAGGAGTTTTTGGAGCTCCTGGTAGAATTCACTTGGAATTATGGTCCCCTAGAAATTGTTATTTGAATTGTCTTCAGAGTTACTTTTAACCTTCTTTGCGTGTTAACATTTTGTGACAAATAAGGTGTTAACGGGTCATATTGGCCACTTATCAAATATCGTAAATATTTTAGGAAATGGAACCTAGATGCATCAACATAGCACAATCAACACCTTACTGAGGACAATTGATGGTTTCTAGCTTTATGTGACTTAACCCGGATGTTCTGAATACCGGATTCGGTGGCCACAATCAACTTTTTCATGAATGCGATTGATATGTCAATAAAATTGATGCGTATGAAACAATTGAAATTGATAGCTCATTTTACTAAATTTAAATAAAAAATAAACCTGAGGGGGGGTGTCATTGGGCCAAAATATAAAATTGGTTAAACTATCTTAATATATGTAAATGTAAAGTAGCTACACACTTAGAAAAAATCATGTAAATGTAAGTGCTCTGAGACTGACATATACGAGCGTCAATTTTGACATAAAATTGGGTCATAATAGACTCGAAACGTACTCAATCAAACGTACTTTTCGTCGAGCAACGAACATTTCAGTCTCGGAGCACTTAATATTATATGTTATATATATGTTTGTTTACGTCTCATCTTTTATGTCAAAGACGGAATACGTCACGTGTAATATTAGTTATTTCTAAGTGTGTACCTATAAGAAGTACACTTTCATATGATCACAATGTACTTTGTATGTAAAGCTTAAGACGATGCTTAGTCTATCCACATACAAGTGTGTTTAAACTTTTGTTTGCCAGTGGACATTTTCAAAAACGTGTTTTTGTTATTATTTATGTCATTCAGCTTTACAGCACTAATAAACTAAAACAGTTTGTTCATTTTATCTACACTTTACTCCAGGTGTTCTAGAATTATATTTTTGTCATCATTTTCTGTATATTCAAGATATTTGAATCAATAAAAAAAAAACAATTTTGGCCCAATGTTACCCCTTCTTACGGTATCAATGAAATACCCAACAAACGAAATCCTTTTTCATTGAAAATTTGAAGCAGATATCAAAATGATCGATTCATACATTTTGTAGGCTCTATAAATAAATTTTGGACGTGATTTACATTAAAATTTACGGCCACCATCCCCTCCCCCCCTCCTAGAACATTCACGGTATCACGACTCTTGTGTGGTGAGATTTGGGCCCCTACAAGTCGGAAGTGATGAAACATATGACACTTTGTTCTTTA